AAAGCCAAGGCAAGCGCTGCTGCTGCTGCTGCTGCTGCTGCTGCTGTGGCAGAGAGCCCTGGCTGGGCAGGGCAGGCACCCACTGTGCCACGGGCTGTTTCTCCTACCTGAGCTGGGCGGTGCTTTTGAGCCAGTAATGACAACCGGTGGGAGAACGAAGGGGGCTCTTCTGGCACCGGCACTTAGGGATGCCGTAGGGTGACCTTCAGGGCAGAGCTTGGGCCCCCACAAAGCAAAGCTGAGGTGTAGTGTTCTGGGGCTGCAGCATCGTGTCCAGGGAGGCTACAGTTTACCAGTGACCAGCATGGGACTCAAGGAGATGATCTCCTGCTCTGTAACAGTTTCCTGATCTCTGGAAACTGTTGCCACTGGAGATGAACAGATCACACGGACACAGCTCCAGGTGTGGTGAAAGGAAGAGTTTATTTCTTCTCCCAGGATTTAGAGGTTTCTGACCACGGCCAGGGATTGGATGGTCAGGATAACACTTTCCCAACCGCACTGGCCGTGAGAGATGTCCATCACAAGACGTGTATCAGAAAGAATGGACACATCTCTATGTTTAGAGTTACAGTCCTGGGAAAGTCTTTAGAAAACCATGTGAGCAAGCTCAGAAGCTGAGTTTTCAAGGCGACAGGAAACCATTTCTTCAACGCAGGAACAAACTCAACTTAGATCCAGAGACAGAGAGCCCCAGACAGAGACAAGGTGGTGGGTTTATGGGACAGAACCAGGGTGGAGTTTTAAGGTTGGGGTCTAATAGGAACATAGCAAGGGAGAAACCCCAGGGGCTCAAGCGCAATCTGAACTCCCTGGGCTGCCACCCCACAAGGCCAGTGCAGGAGGGTCCAGGGTGGGGCAATTCTTCCTGGGCTCATCCCCCTAGGCAGATGGGGATGGAATCCACTCTTCCCGGGCTTTAAAGAACCACACCTGTCACTTGTCCAATGCTTATCTGAAAGTCAATGTTTGCCTCGCTGGGCAGGGGGCAGCTGACACAGAGGGAAACGGTTGTTGAGCACTTCCTTTCAAGCCTTCTGGCTGTTGGCAGAGAAGGGACACAAGTGCCAGGATGAGCAGCAGGGCCCGAGGCCGCTCCGTGCCTGCAGGGAGGGGCGGCTGCCGCTGGGGGCGCCATGGGAAGGGGGCGCCCCCGCGCGGGGCGGGCGGGGCGGGGCAGCCACCAGGGGGCGCCCGGGGCGGGGCGGGGCCCCTCTGTGAGGGGGGAGAGCCTCGGGCGGCTGCGGAGCAGGGCCGAGCCACAGACGGGCCCGGCCGGCCGTCTGTCCGTCCGTCCGCAACAGCGCCAGAGCAACGCACAGCGCCAGGGCAACTCACAGCTTAAGCGCAGCCCGGCGAGCAAGGGAATCTTGCCATGGAGGGCAGGCTTCAGGGCGTTTGATTGCCAGGCCTGCGCTGAGCCGGCAGGGCACAAAGCCTCCTCAAGCACCACTGCCTCCTCTGCAGGCTTCCTGCTCTTCCTTTGCTGACAGGGTCCAGTCAGCCAGGCTGGAGGCAGGCTCGGCTGGTGTTACAAACAGCTGCTGTCCAGAATGAAAAAGACAAAACCCAAAGCAGAGGGAAGGAT